CGAAAATAGCATAAGGAAAAGTTCATCACAAAAAACGATATTTTAAAACATTACTTTTATAGGCACTTTCAATTTTTACTTAGAAATAGATAAATGCCTACATCCCACAGTACAGAAAGTAGACTACAGAATTAAAATATTACAAATAGATATTAAATTTATTATTGAAAATAGCATTAGGAAAAGTTAAAATCATTTTTAAGCATCTTTTAAAACAGAAAAACAAAAACCAAATTGATGAAGGGTATTGATGAACCCAAAATGCACATATTAGTTTAATAAAAAANAAATACGTTTAAAAAGTCTCAAAAAAAGAAAAAAGTTTGCCATTTTGCAGTAAATTACCAAACCAAGCAATCTCGATCAAGTGTGCCTCACCACATTTGTATTTTTTTTAGCAAGATGGCCGAGCGGTTAATACCGCTCTGAGGAACCCGTTTGACCGAACGGTCAAAAAACCTCGAGAATTTTTCGAGGGATGATCTGTCCTGTGACTGTCGAGCCCCGTCACTCTCTAACCCGGCCGGCTCATTGTGGACTTGGTCGAACCCATAATGAGCTTGCTAAAAAGGTCTTCTTAGCGCTCGGGACGGGAACATATCCGGGACGATTGCCCCTTGAAATAGGGAGGAAAGAGTTAAAAAAAAAAGCACTAATTTCTATTTTACATAAATTTTAAGAAGAATTTAATAATTTTTATTACATTTTGCAGAAATTATGAACATTGCTTTATTCACTTGTAAATCATATGAATTTAATTTAAATTCACGTTTCTAAAATTTGATTTATTCTGGCAGGTGGCGCTGTCGTTTCCCGGAATGTCGGTGGTGCGTGCTCGGTCTGATAGGAAAGTTTACCATGCTGGAATCAAAAAGAACGTAATTCCTGCAGAAATATCGGAAAATCCAGAATTATTGGAAGCTATCAAAGTGCTACCCAGCAATTATAATTTTGAGATACCCAAGACAATCTGGCGTATTATTCAAAGTAAGTCGAAATGTGTGGCTCTTCAGATGCCAGAAGGCTTGCTGATGTTTGCTTTGGCCGTCGCAGATATCGTCGAAAAGTTTTCGAAAGCGGAGGTAGTGATACTTGGTGATGTCACATACGGTGCCTGTTGCGTCGATGATTTCACGGCTCGAGCCTTGGGAGCTGATTTTTTGGTTCATTATGGCCACAGTTGTTTAGTTCCAGTCAATGTTACTACCGATATCAAAGTTTTGTACGTGTTCGTCGACATTAAAATCGATGCCGAACATTTCTTAAAAACTATGAAACACAATTTTTCTCAAGAAACCTCATTGGCTTTATTGAGTACCATCCAGTTTGTTTCGTCTCTTCAAGCCGTGGCTGCAGAATTAAAGGAAAATTATAAAGTAACAATTCCTCAACGAAAACCTCTTTCTCCTGGAGAAGTTCTGGGTTGCACGGCACCTGTTTTGAAGGATGTCGAAGTAGTGGTATTTGTTGGCGATGGAAGATTCCATTTGGAGGCCGTGATGATTGCCAATCCTTCCGTTAAAGCTTATCGGTGAGGTTCTTATACATAGAAATATATATTTGTGTATATTTCTATGTACGTATTAGATTTGGTGGTTTTCAAATTTGGCCAACCCATACCCTTTTGGTTCCGTAAATTTATATTCCTCGCTCCATATTTTAAGGAAATTTTTTTAATATCAGTTTGTAGAACTCGTGTTCAAATATTGTTTATTCTATAAAACTGTTGAAATTAATCTGCTATTACAATTATTTTATCAATTTTTATGCAAGAACATTAAACTCCAGAGTAAATTAATAATTATCAATGATCGTCATTGATAATTATGATCATAAATACATGTAAAATGTACTTGGAGAAACTCATCTCAATGTACTTGCTGCTTAATTTTATCTCTTACTTAGATAACCTATCATTTCCAGCAGACATATGGTCAATTTTGGCAATCTTGTATTAGATTATCTGTTTTAACTAATATTATTATGATTATTTACAGTTGAGCAGTATTTCTCATTAATATACATCTGAGTGAATCTGATTGGAATCTGGATGATATAATCTATAACATGCACAGACAAGATGGTTGGATTTAATAGGTAGCCTAATTGTACCCAAGTAGGGAGAAAACATAATACAAGAAAATGTGCAAAGTTCAATAAACAATGCCAAATCAAACTTTTTTTGAAAAATTATACAGTAATTTGTTAATTATAATTTTAATATTGTAAAGAAATTTAAATGTTTTTGATATCTGAAAGTCTTTGTGATTTTGTACATTATATTAATGTAGTCAGTAAATTACTGAAGACTGCACATTGTATATTGTATTGTCTTGAAATTTTTTTGAGCCCATTTCCTATGATAATGGCAACAGTATAACCTACTAAAACTCAGTAAAACACTTCTATATAGAGTTGATCATAATAAATTATTGTACTATACTGTATATCCACTTCATTCTCCATATTGTCAAAGAAAACACCCCACTAACTTGAACTTTTATAAACTTGGATAATCTTTACCCTCTTAATCCAAATTACCAAGGGTATATTGTACTATACATGGGCTAACATAGGTGTATTGGTGTATTGGTTCTTTAGTGTTGTTTCCACAGAAGTGCAGAATGTTTTTCTGACCAGCCCAATTTGGCTTAATTGTTCAGATGCATGTTTTTATGTAATTAAGGTTCCTGATTACAGGTAAACTTGAGACTTTGAAAAAAGTAAGCCACTAGGCACACTTTTGAGAGCTTCTAATTAACATCTTTTTCATCATATTCCTAGGCACTTTTTTTGATTGAAAATTAATCCAATCCCAAACTTTTACATCTTTTTATTGAAAATTTTCTGAAGCAGAATCTAGTGTTTTTATAATTTAGGCCTAATTATTAAATCTGTTTCATCTTTGCCTATTTTAATAACAATTATTAAAATCAATTTCTTTTTTAGCTTTAATATATTTCAGTAAATCCACTGATTTGATATTGAATTAAATTTTATTAATTTACTTAAATTTTCAAAATTCCTAATTAAAATTGATTTATTTTAAAATATTTTTCAGGTATAATCCATATGACAAAAGTTTCACTCATGAAAAATATGATATTGAAAGGATGACTTCATTTCGAGAGAAATGTATTGAAGCTGCA